CTAGCTAAAATTTGATGGTTTCGTTGCACTTTCCGAGCCCGTAGGGTATCTGAGTGGCTTAAAAGTACAAGAAAACACTTCAAAAGTGACGTTTCTGAAGAATTTTAACAGTTTTCTTGTATCTACGAACGTCAGAATGCATAAAATTGACCTAAACGTCTCCTTTTCCTATTCTGAATCGATTCTGCATGCTTTAAGTGTGTTTGGTGGTTCAGAACCATCAAAAAACGTTGAAATATAGTTCAAATTCAATAAAAATCGACAATAATACAGTTTCTAGCTAAAATTTGATGGTTTCGTTGCACTTTCCGAGCCCGTTGGGTATCTGAGTGGCTTAAAAGTACAAGAAAACACTTCAAAAGTGACATTTCTGAAGAATTTTAACAGTTTTCTTGTATCTACGAACGCCAGAATGCATAAAATTGACCTAAACGTCTCCTTTTCCTATTCTGAGTCGATTCTGCATGCTTTAAGTGTGTTTGGTGGCTCAGAACCATCAAAAAACGTTGAAATATAGTTCAAATTCTATAAAAATCGACAAAAATACAGTTTCTAGCTAAAATTTGATGGTTTCGTTGCACTTTCCGAGCCCGTTGGGTATCTGAGTGGCTTAAAAGTACAAGAAAACACTTCAAAAGTGACGTTTCTGAAGAATTTTAACAGTTTTCTTGTATCTACCAACGCAGGAATGCATAAAATTGACCTAAACGTCTCCTTTTCCTATTCTGAGTCGATTCTGCATGCTTTAAGTGTGTTTGGTGGCTCAGAACCATCAAAAAACGTTGAAATATAGTTCAAATTCAATAAAAATCGACAAAAATACAGTTTCTAGCTAAAATTTGATGGTTTCGTTGCACTTTCCGAGCCCGTAGGGTATTTGAGTGGCTTAAAAGTACAAGAAAACACTTCAAAAGTGACGTTTCTGAAGAATTTTAACAGTTTTCTTGTATCTACGAACGCCAGAATGCATAAAATTGACCTAAACGTCTCCTTTTCCTATTCTGAGTCGATTCTGCATGCTTTAAGTGTGTTTGGTGGCTCAGAACCATCAAAAAACGTTGAAATATAGTTCAACTTCTATAAAAATCGACAAAAATACAGTTTCTAGCTAAAATTTGATGGTTTCGTTGCACTTTCCGAGCCCGTAGGGTATCTGAGTGGCTTAAAAGTACAAGAAAACACTTCAAAAGTGACGTTTCTGAAGAATTTTAACAGTTTTCTTGTATCTACGAACGCCAGAATGCATAAAATTGACCTAAACGTCTCCTTTTCCTATTCTGAGTCGATTCTGCATGCTTTAAGTGTGTTTGGTGGCTCAGAACCATCAAAAAACGTTGAAATATAGTTCAAATTCTATAAAAATCGACAAAAATACAGTTTCTAGCTAAAATTTGATGGTTTCGTTGCACTTTCCGAGCCCGTAGGTTATCTGAGTGGCTTAAAAGTACAAGAAAACACTTCAAAAGTGAGGTTTCTGAAGAATTTTAACAATTTTCTTGTATCTACGAACGCCAGAATGCATAAAATTGACCTAAACGTCTCCTTTTCCTATTCTGAGTCGATTCTGCATGCTTTAAGTGTGTTTGGTGGCTCAGAACCATCAAAAAACGTTGAATATAGTTCAAATTCAATAAAAATCGACAAAAATACAGTTTCTAGCTAAAATTTGATGGTTTCGTTGCACTTTCCGAGCCCGTAGGTTATCTGAGTGGCTTAAAAGTACAAGAAAACACTTCAAAAGTGACGTTTCTGAAGAATTTTAACAGTTTTCTTGTTTCTACGAACGCCAGAATGCATAAAATTGACCTAAACGTCTCCTTTTCCTATTCTGAGTCGATTCTGCATGCTTTAAGTGTGTTTGGTGGCTCAGAACCATCAAAAAACGTTGAAATATAGTTCAAATTCAATAAAAATCGTCAAAAATACAGTTTCTAGCTAAAATTTGATGGTTTCGTTGCACTTTCCGAGCCCGTAGGGTATTTGAGTGGCTTAAAAGTACAAGAAAACACTTCAAAAGTGACGTTTCTGAAGAATTTTTACAGTTTTCTTGTATCTACGAACGCCAGAATGCATAAAATTGACCTAAACGTCTCCTTTTCCTATTCTGAGTCGATTCTGCATGCTTTAAGTGTGTTTGGTGGCTCAGAACCATCAAAAAACGTTGAAATATAGTTCAAATTCTATAAAAATCGACAAAAATACAGTTTCTAGCTAAAATTTGATGGTTTCGTTGCACTTTCCGAGCCCGTAGGGTATCTGAGTGGCTTAAAAGTACAAGAAAACACTTCAAAAGTGACGTTTCTGAAGAATTTTAACAGTTTTCTTGTATCTACGAACGCCAGAATGCATAAAATTGACCTAAACGTCTCCTTTTCCTATTCTGAGTCGATTCTGCATGCTTTAAGTGTGTTTGGTGGCTCAGAACCATCAAAAAACGTTGAAATATAGTTCAAATTCTATAAAAATCGACGAAAATACAGTTTCTAGCTAAAATTTGATGGTTTCGTTGCACTTTCCGAGCCCGTAGGTTATCTGAGTGGCTTAAAAGTACAAGAAAACACTTCAAAAGTGAGGTTTCTGAAGAATTTTAACAATTTTCTTGTATCTACGAACGCCAGAATGCATAAAATTGACCTAAACGTCTCCTTTTCCTATTCTGAGTCGATTCTGCATGCTTTAAGTGTGTTTGGTGGCTCAGAACCATCAAAAAACGTTGAATATAGTTCAAATTCAATAAAAATCGACAAAAATACAGTTTCTAGCTAAAATTTGATGGTTTCGTTGCACTTTCCGAGCCCGTAGGTTATCTGAGTGGCTTAAAAGTACAAGAAAACACTTCAAGAGTGACGTTTCTGAAGAATTTTAACAGTTTTCTTGTTTCTACGAACGCCAGAATGCATAAAATTGACCTAAACGTCTCCTTTTCCTATTCTGAGTCGATTCTGCATGCTTTAAGTGTGTTTGGTGGCTCAGAACCATCAAAAAACGTTGAAATATAGTTCAAATTCAATAAAAATCGACAAAAATACAGTTTCTAGCTAAAATTTGATGGTTTCGTTGCACTTTCCGAGCCCGTAGGGTATTTGAGTGGCTTAAAAGTACAAGAAAACACTTCAAAAGTGACGTTTCTGAAGAATTTTAACAGTTTTCTTGTATCTACGAACGCCAGAATGCATAAAATTGACCTAAACGTCTCCTTTTCCTATTCTGAGTCGATTCTGCATGCTTTAAGTGTGTTTGGTGGCTCAGAACCATCAAAAAACGTTGAAATATAGTTCAAATTCAATAAAAATCGACAAAAATACAGTTTCTAGCTAAAATTTGATGGTTTCGTTGCACTTTCCGAGCCCGTAGGGTATCTGAGTGGCTTAAAAGTACAAGAAAACACTTCAAAAGTGACGTTTCTGAAGAATTTTAACAGTTTTCTTGTATCTACGAACGCCAGAATGCATAAAATTGACCTAAACGTCTCCTTTTCCTATTCTGAGTCGATTCTGCATGCTTTAAGTGTGTTTGGTGGCTCAGAACCATCAAAAAACGTTGAAATATAGTTCAAATTCAATAAAAATCGACAAAAATACAGTTTCTAGCTAAAATTTGATGGTTTCGTTGCACTTTCCGAGTCCGTAGGGTATCTGAGTGGCTTAAAAGTACAAGAAAACACTTCAAAAGTGACGTTTCTGAAGAATTTTACAGTTTTCTTGTATCTACGAACGCCAGAATGCATAAAATTGACCTAAACGTCGCCTTTTCCTATTCTGAGTCGATTCTGCATGCTTTAAGTGTGTTTGGTGGCTCAGAACCATCAAAAAACGTTGAAATATAGTTCAAATTCAATAAAAATCGACAAAAATACAGTTTCTAGCTAAAATTTGATGGTTTCGTTGCACTTTCCGAGCCCGTAGGGTATCTGAGTGGCTTAAAAGTACAAGAAAACACTTCAAAAGTGACGTTTCTGAAAAATTTTAACAGTTTTCTTGTATCTACGAACGCCAGAATGCATAAAATTGACCTAAACGTCTCCTTTTATAATAATAATAATAATAAACTTTATTTCCATCGGACAATTCTGCCCATAGTGGACATAGATACACTAATATATTACTTTAACTTAAAAATAAATTTACTAAACACTAAAAACTATAAACCAATCGGAATAAAAAATAAGTAATATGAATAAGTAATAAGAAACAACAATAAAAAACTTAATAGTTCATAAGCACCAAAATAAAAAGTTAGAAATTCCTGCTTTTAATCCTTAATTGACATTAATTTTTTACGCATGGCCTTTGTTTGAAACTTATCATGAAAAATATCAATGTCCTGATTGCAAACACTATTGTACAATCTAAAGCACTTAATTAGAGTAGAGTTAAAATGGTGATACGTTCGAGGAATTGCAAAATAAAAAATGTTAACATTTCTGCGTGTAAAATTAGGAACAACAATTTTTATTTCACTCAGCAAATTATAACTACATATTCCACCACATACAATCTTTTGAAGGAACGATAAAAGAAACATATTCCGTCTAGATAACAGACTGTCCTCATTAACAATGCGAAGTAAATCAGCATGATCATGATGCCTTATAGGATAGTAACCAAAAGTCTTGAAATACATAAATTTACAAAATTTCCTATTAACCAATTCAAGAGCGTCTATATAGATTTGATGATGAGGTGTCTAGATAATACAACAATACTCCAACTTTGAACGCACAAGTGCATAGAAAAGAATTCTAATGCATGATAAGTTATCAAATTCTCTGGCAATTCTAAAAATAAAACCTAAAGTTTTCAACGTGGTATTTATCAATTGCAATATTTGAGGCACAAAAGTTAATTCATTGTCGATGATAATACCTAAGTCTGACAATTGATCAACCTGGATTAGTACCCTACCATTTATATTATAATAAAAATAAATATGATTTTTCTTCCTAGAAAATTTTAGAACCCTACACTTATCTTTGTTAACCTCCAAACAGTTTCTTTTACACCAATAAATGAAATTATCTAAGTCCTGTTGCAGTTCAAGACAATCATCATATGAATTAATGACTTTGGCAATTTTTTTATCATCAGCATACAGATACGCATGAGAACTAATGTTATCTAACACATCATTAAAGAACAAAATGAACAATAGCGGTCCTAAATTCGAACCCTGGGCAACACCTGAATGAGCACAAAAACTCCCTGAGACAAAACCCTTATATTCTACATATTGCACTCTTTTTGTTATAACAGATTGCATCAAAGAAACTAATCCGTCACATAAGCCAAAATTTCTAAGTTTTTTTAATAGAATGCAGTGGTGAACCTTATCAAATGCCTTCGACAGATCTGTATATATAACGTCAACTTCATTACCTTTATCTAATTCTTGTGAAATAAAATTAGTAAATTCACACAAATTTGTTGCTGTCGATTTTCCCTTAACAAATCCATGTTGCTCAGGCATAATCATATTATTGACATGAGAGTATATGATATTGCTCAACATGGATTCATATAACTTAGCGAAATTTGATAAAATTGCTATCGGCCTATAATTTTTTACGCACCCTTTGTCCCCAGATTTAAAAATAGGACACACTCTCGATTGCTTCCACACTACAGGATATTCTGACTTCAGTGCAATTAGGTTGAATATTCGCGCTAACGGAGCCGCAAAACTTCTTATACAATCGACAACAATGAAGGCCGGAATATTGTCAGGACCACTAACACTGTTACTCTTTAGTTTTTTACCCGCTCTAACTATCATATCTTCATCAATCTTAAAGTTGTGCATCATGTTAACACCACCACAGTCCTTTAAATCATACTCAAGCGAAGGACAACAAGACAACTTACAAAATTCACACTGTTTACTTACGTCCTTGCTTACACAGACATCTTCACATACATGTTTTACATAAACACCCGCAAAAAACTGAGCAAAAACATTGACAATTGCTTGAGAAGATGAAAATTCTTGATCTTCATGTACTACAACTCCTGGTATGCTGGTTGTTCTTTTCTTGGAGTTTACAAAAGACCAAAACGTTTTGGGATCATTTAATATAGAATTTTGTGTATTACGCAGGAAGATGTCATAATTATTACGAATGTCACGCTCAATTTGTTGTCTTAAGCATCTAAGATTTTCCAAGATGTGGGGAGATTTAGTTTTCCGATATTCATTCCAATAATGTTTTTTCAATTTTATATTGTTAATTATCGTTTTAGTAAACCAAACAGGATATGTATCGGTCAAGTTTGAGAACTTACAAGTCCGAACATGCTTCGAGAAGATTTTGTATAAAGTATCGTATAGATAATCGCATGCTAAGTTCACATTGTCAATGTTATTTATTACGGTCCAGTCAATAGCTGCGATTTCAGCATACAATTGAGGAAAATTGGCTTTTTTAAAATTAAACCTAATGTTGTGTCCGTTACCTTCAAAGAACGTGTTGTTTGGCTTAACACTCTCTATAAAAATTCTCAGACATGGATGATGCACATCTTCTTGTAGAAGTGGTAATGGTTCCCTAATTACTTCAGTATTCAATTGATTATTTGATAAGACCAGATCCAGTAACCTATTGTTTACATTCACAATTGCATTACTCTGTTTTAAGTCATTTAATGTTATGAAATTATTATAAGTATTGTAAAAACCAGTTGTTCTATTTCCAAGCGTACACTCATTCAGTTCTGGAATGTTAAAATCTCCCAATATTAATACAGGATGGGTAAAGTCTACAGTATATTCAATATAATCAAAAATTTCAGCATAATCATTAATTAAACATGTAGGTGGTATGTACAAATTAATTATAGTTATCCAAAAGAATTTGTCTTCTGTTATCTTCACAACCACAAGATCAATTTCAGGTATAGGACTAATTAGGTGAATTTGCTGGACAAAAAATTTTGTATGCAACGCTAATAACACGCCACCTCCACGCCCACCAGTTGTTCTATCTGATCGAAAAACATTGTACGTAATTGGAAATAGTTCAGCTGAGAAAACATTATTATTAAGCCATGTTTCTGTTAGCGCAATAATATCGACATCAATTGCACATACATTAAGATAAGTTTCAGTTACTTTGGTATTAAGTCCTCTTACATTCTGGTATATTAAACTAATAGGTCTATATATTAATTCTTGATTCAGTTTTTTGATTTATTGTTCAACGCTACAATTTGCGGAACGCCACGAACATATTTTATTGTAATGTCTGTCTCACCTTTTGTTTTTCTTTCATTTAGTTCGTCACGTATTTTTCTCATATTTTCACGTTGCAACGGCGTAAGGTAAACACTTCAAAAGTGACGTTTCTGAAGAATTTTAACAGTTTTCTTGTATCTACGAACGCCAGAATGCATAAAATTGACCTAAACGTCTCCTTTTCCTATTCTGAGTCGATTCTGCATGCTTTAAGTGTGTTTGGTGGCTCAGAACCATCAAAAAACGTTGAAATATAGTTCAAATTCAATAAAAATCGACAAAAATACAGTTTCTAGCTAAAATTTGATGGTTTCGTTGCACTTTCCGAGCCCGTAGGGTATCTGAGTGGCTTAAAAGTACAAGAAAACACTTCAAAAGTGACGTTTCTGAAGAATTTTAACAGTTTTCTTGTATCTACGAACGCCAGAATGCATAAAATTGACCTAAACGTCTCCTTTTCCTATTCTGAGTCGATTCTGCATGCTTTAAGTGCGTTTGGTGGCTCAGAACCATCAAAAAACTTTGAAATATAGTTCAAATTCAATAAAAATCGACAAAAATACAGTTTCTAGCTAAAATTTGATGGTTTCGTTGCACTTTCCGAGCCCGTAGGGTATCTGAGTGGCTTAAAAGTACAAGAAAACACTTCAAAAGTGACGTTTCTGAAGAATTTTAACAGTTTTCTTGTATCTACGAACGCCAGAATGCATAAAATTGACCTAAACGTCTCCTTTTCCTATTCTGAGTCGATTCTGCATGCTTTAAGTGTGTTTGGTGGCTCAGAACCATCAAAAAACGTTGAAATATAGTTCAAATTCAATAAAAATCGACAAAAATACAGTTTCTAGCTAAAATTTGATGGTTTCGTTGCACTTTCCGAGCCCGTAGGGTATCTGAGTGGCTTAAAAGTACAAGAAAACACTTCAAAAGTGACGTTTCTGAAGAATTTTAACAGTTTTCTTGTATCTACGAACGCCAGAATGCATAAAATTGACCTAAACGTCTCCTTTTCCTATTCTGAGTCGATTCTGCATGCTTTAAGTGTGTTTGGTGGCTCAGAACCATCAAAAAACGTTGAAATATAGTTCAAATTCAATAAAAATCGACAAAAATACAGTTTCTAGCTAAAATTTGATGGTTTCGTTGCACTTTCCGAGCCCGTAGGGTATCTGAGTGGCTTAAAAGTACAAGAAAACACTTCAAAAGTGACGTTTCTGAAGAATTTTAACAGTTTTCTTGTATCTACGAACGCCAGAATGCATAAAATTGACCTAAACGTCTCCTTTTCCTATTCTGAGTCGATTCTGCATGCTTTAAGTGCGTTTGGTGGCTCAGAACCATCAAAAAACGTTGAAATATAGTTCAAATTCAATAAAAATCGACAAAAATACAGTTTCTAGCTAAAATTTGATGGTTTCGTTGCACTTTCCGAGCCCGTAGGGTATCTGAGGGGCTTAAAAGTACAAGACAACACTTCAAAAGTGACGTTTCTGAAGAATTTTAACAGTGTTCTTGTATCGACGAACGCCAGAATGCATAAAATTGACCTAAACGTCTCCTTTTCCTATTCTGAGTCGATTCTGCATGCTTTAAGTGTGTTTGGTGGCTCAGAACCATCAAAAAACGTTGAAATATAGTTCAAATTCAATAAAAATCGACAAAAATACAGTTTCTAGCTAAAATTTGATGGTTTCGTTGCACTTTCCGAGCCCGTAGGGTATCTGAGTGGCTTAAAAGTACAAGAAAACACTTCAAAAGTGACGTTTCTGAAGAATTTTAACAGTTTTCTTGTATCTACGAACGCCAGAATGCATAAAATTGACCTAAACGTCTCCTTTTCCTATTCTGAGTCGATTCTGCATGCTTTAAGTGTGTTTGGTGGCTCAGAACCATCAAAAAACGTTGAAATATAGTTCAAATTCAATAAAAATCGACAAAAATACAGTTTCTAGCTAAAATTTGATGGTTTCGTTGCACTTTCCGAGCCCGTAGGGTATCTGAGTGGCTTAAAAGTACAAGTAAACACTTCAAAAGTGACGTTTCTGAAGAATTTTAACAGTTTTCTTGTATCTACGAACGCCAGAATGCATAAAATTGACCTAAACGTCTCCTTTTCCTATTCTGAGTCGATTCTGCATGCTTTAAGTGTGTTTGGTGGCTCAGAACCATCAAAAAACGTTGAAATATAGTTCAAATTCAATAAAAATCGACAAAAATACAGTTTCTAGCTAAAATTTGATGGTTTCGTTGCACTTTCCGAGCCCGTAGGGTATCTGAGTGGCTTAAAAGTACAAGAAAACACTTCAAAAGTGACGTTTCTGAAGAATTTTAACAGTTTTCTTGTATCTACGAACGCCAGAATGCATAAAATTGACCTAAACGTCTCCTTTTCCTATTCTGAGTCGATTCTGCATGCTTTAAGTGTGTTTGGTGGCTCAGAACCATCAAAAAACGTTGAAATATAGTTCAAATTCAATAAAAATCGACAAAAATATAGTTTCTAGCTAAAATTTGATGGTTTCGTTGCACTTTCCGAGCCCGTAGGGTATCTGAGTGGCTTAAAAGTACAAGAAAACACTTCAAAAGTGACGTTTCTGAAGAATTTTAACAGTTTTCTTGTATCTACGAACGCCAGAATGCATAAAATTGACCTAAACGTCTCCTTTTCCTATTCTGAGTCGATTCTGCATGCTTTAAGTGTGTTTGGTGGCTCAGAACCATCAAAAAACGTTGAAATATAGTTCAAATTCAATAAAAATCGACAAAAATACAGTTTCTAGCTAAAATTTGATGGTTTCGTTGCACTTTCCGAGCCCGTAGGATATCTGAGTGGCTTAAAAGTACAAGAAAACACTTCAAAAGTGACGTTTCTGAAGAATTTTAACAGTTTTCTTGTATCTACGAACGCCAGAATGCATAAAATTGACCTAAACGTCTCCTTTTCCTATTCTGAGTCGATTCTGCATGCTTTAAGTGTGTTTGGTGGCTCAGAACCATCAAAAAACGTTGAAATATAGTTCAAATTCAATAAAAATCGACAAAAATACAGTTTCTAGCTAAAATTTTATGGTTTCGTTGCACTTTCCGAGCCCGTAGGGTATCTGAGTGGCTTAAAAGTACAAGAAAACACTTCAAAAGTGACGTTTCTGAAGAATTTTAACAGTTTTCTTGTATCTACGAACGCCAGAATGCATAAAATTGACCTAAACGTCTCCTTTTCCTATTCTGAGTCGATTCTGCATGCTTTAAGTGTGTTTGGTGGCTCAGAACCATCAAAAAACGTTGAAATGTAGTTCAAATTCAATAAAAATCGACAAAAATACAGTTTCTAGCTAAAATTTGATGGTTTCGTTGCACTTTCCGAGCCCGTAGGATATCTGAGTGGCTTAAAAGTACAAGAAAACACTTCAAAAGTGACGTTTCTGAAGAATTTTAACAGTTTTCTTGTATCTACGAACGCCAGAATGCATAAAATTGACCTAAACGTCTCCTTTTCCTATTCTGAGTCGATTCTGCATGCTTTAAGTGTGTTTGGTGGCTCAGAACCATCAAAAAACGTTGAAATATAGTTCAAATTCAATAAAAATCGACAAAAATACAGTTTCTAGCTAAAATTTGATGGTTTCGTTGCACTTTCCGAGCCCGTAGGGTATCTGAGTGGCTTAAAAGTACAAGAAAACACTTCAAAAGTGACGTTTCTGAAGAATTTTAACAGTTTTCTTGTATCTACGAACGCCAGAATGCATAAAATTGACCTAAACGTCTCCTTTTCCTATTCTGAGTCGATTCTGCATGCTTTAAGTGTGTTTGGTGGCTCAGAACCATCAAAAAACGTTGAAATATAGTTCAAATTCAATAAAAATCGACAAAAATACAGTTTCTAGCTAAAATTTGATGGTTTCGTTGCACTTTCCGAGCCCGTAGGGTATCTGAGTGGCTTAAAAGTACAAGAAAACACTTCAAAAGTGACGTTTCTGAAGAATTTTAACAGTTTTCTTGTATCTACGAACGCCAGAATGCATAAAATTGACCTAAACGTCTCCTTTTCCTATTCTGAGTCGATTCTGCATGCTTTAAGTGTGTTTGGTGGCTCAGAACCATCAAAAAACGTTGAAATATAGTTCAAATTCAATAAAAATCGACAAAAATACAGTTTCTAGCTAAAATTTGATGGTTTCGTTGCACTTTCCGAGCCCGTAGGGTATCTGAGTGGCTTAAAAGTACAAGAAAACACTTCAAAAGTGACGTTTCTGAAGAATTTTAACAGTTTTCTTGTATCTACGAATGCCAGAATGCATAAAATTGACCTAAACGTCTCCTTTTCCTATTCTGAGTCGATTCTGCATGCTTTAAGTGTGTTTGGTGGCTCAGAACCATCAAAAAACGTTGAAATATAGTTCAAATTCAATAAAAATCGACAAAAATACAGTTTCTAGCTAAAATTTGATGGTTTCGTTGCACTTTCCGAGCCCGTAGGGTATCTGAGTGGCTTAAAAGTACAAGAAAACACTTCAAAAGTGACGTTTCTGAAGAATTTTAACAGTTTTCTTGTATCTACGAACGCCAGAATGCATAAAATTGACCTAAACGTCTCCTTTTCCTATTCTGAGTCGATTCTGCATGCTTTAAGTGTGTTTGGTGGCTCAGAACCATCAAAAAACGTTGAAATATAGTTTAAATTCAATAAAAATCGACAAAAATACAGTTTCTAGCTAAAATTTGATGGTTTCGTTGCACTTTCCGAGCCCGTAGGGTATCTGAGTGG